AACGATCACTCTGGCCTCCGCGGGAAATCCGCCCGCCTGGCGAGCCCACGTGAGCCCGCGACATCAAAGCCGCGGTTGGCAACGCAGTTTTTGGCTAATGAGGTCCATGGTGCGGCGGCGGTCTCTACGAGCTGGACTGGGAGGCGGAGATGAGAGCGTCGGCTGTAAGCTGCGCGGGGAGGCCCTTGAGCCGCTGGGCCTCGTGTGGCTACTGGTGGCGCCCCCCCCCCCCCCCCCTCGGCTGCGCCATCGGTGGATGTGCTCGGCGCGTGCGAAGGCTGGGTGCGACAGGCGCTCCTGGGCCCCGCGAGCGTGCTCGAGGCCGAGGAAGAGGTGGGCGCAATGCCCGCCACTCCTCGCGCATGGTCGTCGGCCGCAGAGCGGGGGCCAGTCGCCCCCGCGCTGGTCGAGAGGCAGATCCCCGAGCCCACTGAGCTTGCGGAGGTGGGCGTGTTCAATGGCAAGAAGCTCCTCGGGGGGCTCTTCGGGTTCCGCAAGGGCGGCTTCAAGCGCGGGCAGGGCCCGCGACGACTGGTCATGAATATGGTCCTCTCGAATGCTGCCCAGCGCGTAGTTCAGGGCGACATGCCGCTCGGCGAAGCGCTGAGGTCGGGCGAAATCTTGTCCATGTCGTCAGAGGACCTCAAGTGCTAATTCTACGTTTACATATTGTCAGATACCTGGAGGCTATACTTTGCTTTGTCCCTTCCTGTGCGACGGACGGCCATTGGGCTCTCAGGAGACGGGTTTGTTAACTTGACCTCGACCGTGGTGCCGATGGGGTGGATCTCGGCGACTGGGGTGACCCAACATGTACATCGTTATCTTCTTCGGCATTGGCGTGCTGGGCTGCCGCGGCTCCCGCCCGATCGAGAGCTGCGACGTGGCGTTCCTGTGCCTGGGCGAGGAGGCAAGCGGCGCCAGGTGGGCCCTCGGCCTCCTTGCGGCGCCAGCAGCTGACATCGGCGGCCGCGTCGAGCTCGGGCCGCAGCATCGCGCCGGCAGCGCGTCGTCGGCGTGGCCAGGTGGGCGCGCTGACGGCGCCCAAGCCTGGGGCAGGAAATGCGGCGCGGCCAGATGGGCCCCCCCTGCGTCCTCGCCGCGCCAGTCGCCAGTATCGGCTACGGCATCAACCCCGAGCAGCAGCGCGATGCCAGCAGGACGTCCTCGGCGTGGCCAGGTGGGCTCGCCGAAGTTGACTGGCTGGCGTGGCGTGTGCATCGGGCGGAGCAACAGGCAGCTTGATCTTGCTCCATCATTATGGGAAAATCCTTTTCGCATCAATACGGATGGAGACAGAGAGAACGTGATCCAGAAGTTCGGAGAGTGGGCCCGCAGTCGTCCCGAAATGGTGGCTAGGATCCCTGAGTTGACGGGTTGCAGGCTGCTGTGCCGTTGTGGCGATCATGAATCATGCCACGCTGGCGCTATTCAAGACCTCTGGGACGATGTGTGCTGCCCCGTGGAGGTCGACGAGGCCCCCCCGCTCCGAGACGGACGGTCCGTGCTGGCTGGCGTGGCAGGTGTGCATCGACAACCTGGACATGCTGGAGGTCGGGCCGGTGGTGGATATTGAAATGCTGAGGCTCGCAGGTCGCCCTGAGGCCATGAAGGCGGCTCTGGCGAGGTACGACACGTTCGGCGTTCCCGTGAGCGAGAGCAAGTCGGTGGTCAGGCAACCTGAGGCGACGGCGCTGGGGGACTTCGTCGACGGCGTGCGTGGGACGATTGGACCCCCTGGCGAGTTCTGCCGGAAGCTGGCCTCGCTGACGCTGTGCGCCCTCAGGAGGCCGGCGGTCGCGCAGAAGTGGTTGCGGGTTCTCGGCGGACGCTGGGTTCGCCTGATGCTGTGCCGCCGCGAGACGATGACGTGCCTCGGTGCATTCTGGAAGTTCACGGTCCGCATGCGAGGTGAGCGCTCTCTCCCATCGTCAGTCCGAGGGGAGCTCCTGAGCGCGCTGTGCCTGATACCATTGCTGCGCTGTGACTTGCGCGTTCCCATCAGTGGCCTGGCGACGGCGTCGGATGCGAGCCCATGGCGAGGGGCAGTGCGCAGGTCGGTGCGCCTTCTGCCGCATGGCATCGCAGCAGCTCGCGCCTTTCAGTTGGGACGGACAGGCGTTCGCCTCGAAGCCGTTCGGTTGTTGATTTCGAGGCTCGGTTTCCGACGAGACACTCGATTTCCAGTTTAGTTTCGCACCGCGCGTTGTCCGTTGATATCATGCATGTCGAACGCATGGGGGTTGACCTGTACTTCGCTGGGAGTGTCCTGTACGTGCTTATTTTCTGAGTGCTGCCAGGCCGGCCAGAAAGTAACGTGAAACATATCAGGCGATGGGAATTCTGGGACACAATATTCTGATTTGAGGATTAGTATGTTCATAAAAGGCGAAGCACAAATCGCCAAGCATATTGCGCAACAGTTCACAAGCAACATACGTTAACAACAACCAAACCACAAACTTAACAACATACCATCTAACAGTTATTGCGGCGACTGGAAACAGTTATCGCGGGCTGTCTAAACAGTTGTTAACTTTACGGTGCGTTTTCAGATTTGTTATATTGTTTTGCGCGTTTTGTTAACTTTCCGGAAAGTTGTTAACGTCTGTCGGTTTTGTTAATTTTCATTGGGAACGGGAAACTTTATTTAGTTGATCTACTGGGTTGTAAGCAGACATTACTTAAGCAGCAGGGCCACCGAATATCCCTTGTATCAGCAATTTCACATGATTACATTTCGTGTGGCCCTGCAGTGTTCTGGGGCAGAGACCCCCCCCGCAGTGTTCGCTGAAGCAGATAAAGGGCGGGGGGGAGCGTTTTTGCTGCCCGTGGGCGCGGTCCCTGAGGCCTTGTAGGCGCGGGCCTTGGCCGTCAGGCCGTGCCCCGAGGCGGCAGAGACGTCTTCTCCCTGGGCGTGGCCATGACCCCATGTGGGGTCGAGGCGTGGCATGGCCCCCGTGGCCACGTGGCCCGAGGGGGCTTGGCTGGGCGCTGCCCCGGTGTGTTCGGCCCTCGGCGAGGCGTAGCTGCAGCGTGCCCCCTAGGTGCCCCGTGCCCCCCGTGCTCTCGGCGTGGCGCTGCTGTGCTTGCTGGTGAGCCCTCCGTGGCCCCTTGGGGTGACGGCCTTCGGCGTGGCGCAGCTGCAGCTCGGCCGAGTGGTCTGACCTCTATGTGGTGGCGCCCGCCTCTGGAGTCCCTTTGCGACTCCTCACAAGACCTTGGTGTGGGCAAAAAAAATGACGAGCGAGGAGGGGTTAGGGGTCACATAGTTATTCCGCTTCTCTGCGAGTGTCAGGGCGTCGGGTCTCGGGGTCCTCCTGCTCCTGCTCCTGCTCTTGCCCCTGCTCGTACTCGTGCTTCCGCTGCTTTTACTGATGCTTGACTATCCTCTGCCTCCTCCGCCTTCGCCTCCTCCTCCTCCTCCTCCTCCTCCTTCTCCTCCTCCTCCTCCTCCTCCTCCTCCTCCTCCTCCTCCTCTTCCCTTCTGAATCATCCTCGCCTCCGCTTCCTCTGGCCTTACTCCTGCTCTTGGCTTTGAGAGCATCGAGCGGCGCAGATATCCCTCCCCAGCGGTCGTTGCCGCATGTGTGTGTGTGTGTGTGTGTGCGTGTGTGTGTGTGCGTGTGCGTGTGCGTGTGCGTGTGCGTGTGCGTGTGCGTGTGCGTGTGCGTGTGTGTGTGTGTGTGTGTGTGTGTGTGTGTGTGTGTGTGTGTGTGTGTGTGTGTGTGTGTGTGTGTGTGTGTGTGTGTGTGTGTGTGTGTGTGTGTGTGTGTGTGTGTGTGTGTGTGTGTGTGTGTGTGTGTGTGTGTGTGTGTGTGTGTGTGTGTGTGTGTGTGTGTGTGTGTGTGTGGGGGATCACCCCCCAGGCGGCACCCTGTCGCCAGGGAGGGCGAAAAACGAAACCGAACCGAACAGCCCGGGGCGGATCCCGAGGGGAAGAGCCGTGGGGCTGCCAGCGGGTGGCGCCATCGCTGAGGCCGCCTGCCAGCCATTGGTGCTCGCGCTGGGGCAGGGTCTGCGGTCGGGAACTCTCGGATGGCGTGCCGCTCCGCCGGCTCTGGCCCACCGCGCTTCGGCGCGACGCGCTATCCACGTGCCGAGCCTGTCCGAGCCTCCCGCCCTGCGGGGCGACGAGCCATCCGCTCGCCAGGCCTCGCGTGCAGCTGGGGCCGCCTCGGCGACGCGCGGAGCGGGAGCTCCTGGCCGTGAGTGCTCCTGACGCGTGGCAATCTCCAGGTGCAGCACGAGTTTGCGCCGAAACCAGTTTTTCGCTGGTGGGGCAATTTTTCGAGGTGTTCGTTTTGACACCTCCACAGGACCAGGAGAGATGATGCCAGGAGGCTGAGGCGGAGCTTGTCTGTCTGTTGTACGACCTGAATGTTGTACATGGTTGATGTCGTCGTCCCTGTCCTGATCATCTACAAGTAAGAGCGACCCTCCGTCGGAGTGGCCTTTGGAGTGGGCTCCCAGGGCCCCCCCTGGCACCGGCAGGCTCGCTTGGAGTTGGCCCCCTTCGCGGCCCACGAGAGCCGCGCACCAGATGCCACCCTTGCCCAGGGTCACTCTTACGTTTATCGGCGATGGGTTCCCGGCAATCGAGGCCTCCTAGATGGGGTCGGAGTAGATGGAATCGGAGGATCGCGCCGCATCGCCGATGCATCGCCGATGCGGCTCGATGTGGAGCCCGTGTTGCTTCACGTCGACGTCGCCGATGCATCGTCCACGTCGACGATGCATCTCCAGTGCAGCGGCGATGCATCGCCGATGCATCGCCAGTGTATCGGCGATGCGTCGCGATTCCCCGACCCCATCTACTCCGACCCCATCTAGGAGGCCTCTAGTGAGGGCAGCACGTAAGGATGAGAAAGAAAGGCGTTGGAAATTGCAAACGTACATATCCGTAGGCATCTTTGCGCAACGGCTCCGTCACAAACAGCGGCCTGCCGCTCGGATTTGCAGCCTTCCTTCCCGCCGAGCTCGCGGCACCCACGTTCGCGATGCCGACCATCAAGCTCACCTACTTCAACATCGAGGCCGCGGCCGAGAAGGCCCGCCTGGCCCTGGCGATGACCGGGACGCCCTTCGAGGATGCTCGCATTACCTTTGAAGAGTGGGGCGCCCTCAAGCCGACCACGCCCTATGGTCAGCTTCCGATCATGGAGGTCACCGAGGACGATGGCTCCAAGAAGGTCTTCGCCCAGAGCGTAGCCATGATGCGGTATGTCGCCCGCAGGTTCGACAAGGCAGGAACCCTCTATCCCACCGATGCCGATGCTTCCCTCGAGATCGAGGAAATCCTCGGCTTGTCTGATGACATGGCCCGTGACTGGACTCCCGCGCTCTACATGGGCATGGGTCGCCACATGAAGTTTGGCCATCCAGAGGACTTTCCGGCAAAGGCCGACACCGTCAAAGCTATGCGCGAGCGATTCATCGCCGAGGACCTGCCAAAGTGGATGGGGTTCTTGTCAGCCAAGCTCGACAAGACAGGGGCATTCCTTGCTGGCCCAAACGTGACTATCGCCGACCTCCAGGTCCTTGCACAGCTGCGCTACTATACCAAGGGGGTTGCAGATCACGTGCCGAAGGATTGCCTCGAGGCTTTTCCGAAGATCACCGCTTGGATGGCGAAGATGTACGAGGTGCCCGAGATTAAGAAGTGGTACGGCCTCTGACCTTGGAGTTCTGTATAGCACTCAGTGATCGTTTTAGAGTTCGCTGCTTTGTAATTCTGGCTTGGACCAGAGTTTCAGCACTTGGGGCGCATTGCGACCCTTTTTGGCAACCACGCTTTCCACTCTTCTTCCTTATCGTCGTTGTCCTCCTTCCTCGCCTTCTCCTTCTCCTCCTCCTCCTCCTCCTCTTCCTCTTCCCCTTGCGCGTCTCAGCTGGCATCTCCCGCTAACTTGGCGCACCGATTCTGTGTCATACGGTTGGGGTGACGTCTAGCCAGCTGGGGCCAACGATCTGGGTGAATCATTCAGTGCCGTCTCAGTGCCGCTTGCATGGATCACCCTGGGCAGTCGCAGATCGATGTTTTGTAATGGTGACAAAGTTATCGCGTATATTTTCGGCTTCGAGCCGTGGTGCAGAAAGGGCCCAAGACAAACATGGCAGGTCATTAGTCTGTTAGTTTGGACCCACACGCTCTGTGTATTCAAGGAGCAATCCATGTGGTGCACTTTGTGTTGTGCAATGTAGGTTGTACCATCTATATTGTTCGGTCGATGTGGTGCACTTCATGATGTGCAATCTATGATTCTGTATGTTGTGTACTGTGCGTTCTATACATTAATACACATACATATACATACGACAATAGAAGTTGTGCACTACATGTGGTGCAATACGTACGGTGCAGTCTATGGGGTGCAATTGGCTACCCTGCACCGCGCTTGACCACCTCCACTGCTCGCGCAAAGATCCCACCCACCCACCCGCAGCCTGGTTGGCAAAATCTCTCAAGACCGTGACGATGGGTACCAGATGGCACTTGGCAACGACAGCGACGGCGACGCCGACGACGACGACGAGGGAGGAGGGAAGACGACGACGACGACAACGACGACGACGACGACGACGACGGCGACGAAATAGGACGGACGACGACGAGACACCGACGACGGACGACGACGGCGACGAGGGAGGAGGAGGAAGGACGACCACGGCGACAACGACGACGGAAACGACCACGACCTCAAAGAGGACGACGACGACGAACACGAGGAAAGACAGAGGACGACGTAGGCGACGACGACGACGCGGGAGGAGGGAGGACGGCGACGACGACGACGACGCAAGAGCGCGCGCGCACGCTTTTGTTGAACATCCGTGTTGCGAAACCTTGTGTTTTTTTGTAGTTTTTTTTGGACACACGATTTTGAAATCCTTCCGAAACCGATGGGTTTTGAAGGATTTCGGCATACGCGCGCGACGACGCGCGCGTCTGCACTTCGGCCCATTTTTTGTCGAGGATTCTCGCGACGGCACACGCGCAAGGGCGTTCGACAGATTTCGACATGCGCGCGCGCGCGAAACCCGTTTGGTAGCATTTTGTGAAAATCTTGACAACCCTATGGTTTTCTTAAGATTTCGCAAGAGCTCGCGCGTAAGCTTTTTTAGCAAATCAGTGTTGCGAAACCCTGTGTTTTTGTATGTTTTTTTGGGAAACTCGGTTGCGAAATCCTTCCGACACCGGAGGTTTTTGAAGGATTTCGGCATACGCGCGCGACGACGCGCGCGTCTGCACTTCGTCCCATTTTTTGTCGAGGATTCTCGCGACGGCACACGCGCAAGGGCGTTCGACAGATTTCGACATGCGCGCGCGCGAAACCCGTGTGGTAGCATTTTGTGAAAATCTTGACAACCCTATGGTTTTCTTAAGATTTCGCAAGAGCTCGCGCGTAAGCTTTTTTAGCAAATCAGTGTTGCGAAACCCTGCGTTGTTGTATGTTTTTTGGGGAAATTCGGTTGCGAAATCCTTCCGACACCGGAGGTTTTTGAGGATTTCGGCATGCGCGCGCGACGACGCGCGCGTGTGCACTTCGTCCAATTTTCTGTCGTGGCAAAGTTTTATGTCCCCGCGTATTGTTTTTTACAAGGGAACCTCAGGGGGACCGATACCGGTTCCCCGGGGATAGTGTGTATTCGTATTTAGGATGGACATGTGGTCAGAATCATAAATGATTTACATGCCCGAAAGGGGGACCGATACCGTCGGGGGGGGGGGGGGTAGTGTCTTTTCTTCTTTTTTTTAGCAAGGAGAATCTATGCTGTGCAATCTGTATGATGCCATTCATGTGTGTACACTCTATGTGTCGCCGTTTGTGGTTCCAATCTGTATTGTGCAGCCTATGTGGTGCACCGCGGTGCAATCTATGCTGCACCACACCGAGTGCCACGGGGGGGTGCAACGGGGCGGCGGCGACGGGACGGGGCAGCGACCGCGAGGACGTAGGCGCCAGACCGCCACGCAGGCCCAGGCGACGGGCGGCGACGCTGCGGCGACGGGGCAGCGACGGCGACATAGCCGCCAGACCGCCACACAGGCCCAGACGACGGGCGGCGACGCTGCGGCGCAGGGGCGGCGACGGCGACATAGCCGCCAGACCGCCACACAGGCCCAGACGACGGGCGGCGACGAGGCGGCGCAGGGGCGGCGACGGCGATGACATAGCCGCCAGACCGCCGCACATGCCCGGTTCCTTCTCCAGAGACAGGGGCCCCTGAGTGCAAGCACCGTTTTGGGAGCAGCGATTCTGTCGTGACGGCCTCGCGGCCAGTTGGGCCTGGGCGTGCGCCTGCAGGTGGCTTCGGCGTGGGCCCCTCCCCAGCTGCTGAGGTGCAGCTGCGGGTTTGCCCCGTGGCCCCTGTGGCCCCAGGTGTGCAGCTCCGAGGTGCCCTCGCCAGGGGTCAGGACAAGGCGTGCCGCCCAGCAGGGGCTGCAGCCGAGAGCGAGAGTGCACGGGGTTGCCGGCGTTCCGGACCAAACATTCCCGGTTAGGCAGCTCCCTCCATTCTCGCCCGCGCAGCTTGGACGTCAAGCCTCCAGCAAGACAGCGCAGGCAGGTCAGAGTGGACGAACCAGTCGCGCCCAGGACGTCCTCTGTGGTACTCGGTCCACTTGCAGCTCGAGTGCGCAGGAAGTGCAGCCCCAAGCGGAGTGCTATGCGGCGTGCGCTTTTTCTGGGTCCCGTGCACTCTTTATCCGCTTGCAAGCCTCGGGGGCGATCAGTGGCGGGAAAAAATGCCCTCGCCGAAGGTCTGGTATCTCGTATCTCCTCCGACCCCGCTGTCGAACACACATCAACTATCATCCACCTCCTCCTCGCCCGCAAACGCGATTTCCCTGTGCGAAAGAATAGAGGTGCTCATGCCTCGGATGGGCGATAGCATGTGCCAACCGTTTCATTAAGTCGAATTGGTAGGCACTGTGTGTGGCCCTTCTTCTGCTTCTCCTCCTCCTCCTGTTCCTTCTCCCTGTCCTTCTCCTCCTTCCCCCACGTCCACCTCCTCCTTCCTCCTGCGTGCCGGAGGGGAGGGGGTGGAGACAGGGGGAGGAGGAGGAGGAGGAGGAGGAGGAGGAGGAGGAGGAGGAGGAGGAGGAGCAGGAGGAGGAGGTGGGAGCAGTAGGGGGCAGGAGGAGGGAGAAGGGAACGAGTACGGGGAGGGATGATGCTGCTGCTGCTGCTGCTGCTGCTGATGATGATGATGATGATGATGATGCTGCTGATGATGATGATGATGATGTTGATGTTGATGATGGTGATGGTGATGACGATGCTGATGATGATGGTGGTGGTGATGATGATACTGATGAGGATGATGATGATAAGGATGATGATGATGATTACTATGTTTATGATGATGCTGGTGCTGTTGTTGCTGATGATGATACTGATGATGCTGCTGATAATGCTGATGATGACGACGATGCTGATGACGATGCTGGTGATTATGATGCTGATGCTGATGCTGATGCTGATGCGGATTATGATGCTGATGCTGATGCTGATGCTGGTGATGATGCTGCTGCTGATGCTGATGCTGGTGGTGATGGTAATGATGGTGCTTATGGTGATGCTGCTGAGGATGGTGATGCTGATGCTGATCATGCTGATGATCATGATGCTGATGGTGATGCTGATGATGAGGATGACGATGATGTTCATGATGATGATGCTGCTGATGATGATGATGATGATGATGCTGCTGCTGCTGCTGATGATGATGATGATGATGATGATGACAACTACGACTACGCTGATGATGCTGCTGATGATGATGCTGATGATCCTGTTGTTGATGATGATGGTGATGTGAGCACAGCGGTTCTGATCGTATGAGGACATATTCTGCAGCTTTCTCGGACCGAGCCCCCCCCGCGCTGTGCGCCGGGCGTGTCCGTGGTCGATGCGTGGAGGCCCCGCGGCCAGAACGCAGGCGGTCCACGAGCCTGCGCCTGGATTCGAGGCCTACTCAGGGGCCGCCCCCAGCGGCGAGGAGGCCGCACCAGAGGCGGCGGAGGTCCCAGAGGGGGCCCCCTGTGTCGTCATCCCAAACAGCACCCATCGCAGCCCGCCCAGAGGGGCGGCAGGGGCCGAACCTGTGGTTCGGGCCGCCCCTGCCGCTGGCAGCCACTGCTACGCGATCTGGACCGCCCTGGGCTCAAGCGAGGACCTCGGCGTGGTGCGCAGAGAAGGCGCCGGCGCGTGGCGGGCGATCGTCGCCAGGCTCGGAGACGGCAAGTACACCAGCGGGCGAGATCGTCTGCGTGTGTTCCCGTCGCTGGACAAACCAATTAACGAGTGCTGTCACGAGCAACGGAACTACTCAAACACTATCAAGGTGTTCGACTGGGCCAGGGCACATGGATGACGTTGCCATTTGTGGCGCTACAGCAGACCGGGGACGTCCTGCTCCGCTCGTGGCGCTACAGCAGACCGGGCCCGCGCCGCCGGCGCGGCAACGAGGTGCGAGGCCTGGGTCGTCGGCGCCGAGTTCGCGCGGCCCGATGGCCGCGTCGCCGTCGACGCCCTGACACAGGACGACCTCAGCGACCTCGAGGTGGAGGAGTTCCTCATCGTGGTGCCTGCCGTTTGCCTCTTGCGACGCTGGCTCGCTCGCCTCCGTAGGCTATGTCTCGATGGCTCTGCGGTCGTCCCTGGGCGAAGAT